GCATGATGTTCATGCAAAAATAGAGAACTTCCGTGATGAAATCGAATCTAACAAGAAGAAAATCATAAAGTTAAAAATGAACGCAAGTTATACTCAAAGATGCAAAAAAAAAGAAAGAAAGCACTTATCGCAAATCAGGAAGTGGTACAGTATGATAAACCTAGCTGTCCTCCACTTCTTTTCAAGCATTCGAATTTATATGATCATATTCATGATTCAATCGAATTTGGAGCAGCTGATGAAAAACGAAGGAAAGAAGTTGTTAAGGTGCAAATTATCGAAAATTTACGCAAGAATCTTAAAGAGAACTACAATATATACATGACGCGAACAACATTGAATAATTACCTGTTGCCTCGTCAATCCAATTCTATTGCTGCAAAAGCGCATCATCATCTGGCTTGGGTCGCAGTGGCTGGAGTTTCACGTACTGAAACACGGGACCATCCTGATGGTTACTACTGTCTTGCGTCTGTTAAATGTGCAAGGCAATTTGCCACCGTCTTTGCCGATAAATCTGTTGTCATTTCTCAAGATGATAAGGCAAAGATAGGTCTTGGGATATTGGCTATAGGTCGGACATTCCGCACATTACAGTCAGTTCATGAGCCTGTTCATGTAGCTGATCATGACTTTCCTGCAGGATATGGGCAAAAGTTAATTCTATCGGTTTACCTTATGATCAAACCGAATGAATTAAATGATGATTTAAGAACGGGACAACTTGCCATTTTTGTACGTCGTCAATAGTCCCTTGGAACTTCTTCACTCACGCATATGCAAGACCTCGAAAGTCTCATTCTAGATCCTCAATATAATGATACGTTGAAGGCCGACGGAGAAATTCGACCTATCTGGATATTATTAGTGGATGGGGGACCGGATGAGAATCCAAGACATTTAAAGAATATTAAAAAATACATTCAGCTTTTTCGAAAATTTGATTTAGATTACCTCACTGTGCGGACACACGCACTGGGACAATCCAAGTATAATCCTGTTGAAAGGGGCATGGCAATACTATCCGGAAAATTGGCAGGTATTACTCTACCAATCGATCACTTTGGGACGCATCTAGATACACAAGGTAAAGTGATTAATCCAGAATTGGCTGTTCAAAACTTTCGATATGCCGGAGAGGTGCTTTGTGATATTTGGCGTCGCGATTTGATTTTTGGAAGAAGCGTAAATGCACAATATGTCGAAGAACTTGCCAATCCGTTTAAAAACCTGGAGTTTGAAGGTACAGAAAAAGAAAAAGAAAAGGCGGGAGCACAAAAATAACAAAAAAAGAAACAACAAGAAAATGGAAATGACTCACCAGAATGTTTTGTGCCGTGGTCATGAATTGAAGATCATTGTAACCTGTGTCAATATTCTCTTGATATTAAAAGATGTACAGATACAAGCTGTTGTGGACCAACTCGCGTACAAGTGGCTATGGATTTTCTTCAGTTAAACAATAGTTTTTTACCTCTGGTCACAAAAGCCAGGGACAGACATTTCACAAACTCTATACACCTTCTTGAATACTATGATCTTTTGAAAATTCCTGGGTATAATGCACATTGTCCGTCCATTGACCAAACAACCTATTCACGTCTTTGCTGTTCTGAGTGTGATAAATACTTCCCAACTCTCACTTACTTGATGAACCATAAACGAACAAAGCATCCTGCTAGCCGTGGGCGGCCCAAAGGAAACCTAGACAAAATTCAGTGACTCTTGATGATTTCTCTCTTCTTCCTTCATAGCGAAAATGATCTCTTTGTGACGAAACACATTTAAGGGAATGTTTATCGGATAATGAATGATTTTATTGATTTTTTTATAACAATTATAATGTGACATTTATGTATGTGCTAGTAATGCTAATAAATCTAAGCCACTTATATTACATGATCTATAAAATCTAAGCCAGTAATATCACGTGATACCTAAATGTATGTGTAACCTAAGATTTTCTAATACCCCGCAGTTACCCCTACTCCCCCAAAAATATTAGGTAATATATGTCACTTTCTTATCGAGTAGTCAAATATAACTGTTATAGTTAACAACTATATATTTAATCAAGAATTCAATGTGAATCCTTCTGGAAAAAACATCTTATTTTCCTTAAACCCTACAAAAACTAGGACACTTCGATCAGAAAGAAATTATAACAAGACTAAAGATGGTACAGCAATTGATTTCAAATTTACAAAATGTTGCAACATAAGCTAAAATTAGTTGCAACATATGTTGCAACATTATAAGTTGCAACATATATAGGTTAAAACTAATTGCAACGTAAGTTGCAACATTAAAAGTTGCAATATATTAATTACAGTTCCCATCTTTAAACAAGACCCTTCTATTTAATATAAAAGAAGACCTTATAGGCAGTGATGTACATTTTTATATTTCAAGTATTTGCTGTTTCAGCTATATGTTCTAACTATATGTCTCAACTATGTCCCATATATGTCTCAAATATCCCATCTGTCCTATCAATGTCTTATCAGTGTCCTATCAGTATTCTAACTATGTTTCATGACAACACTGCCTATAGGTCTGCTATTAAAACTACTATTGCTCATATTCAAGAGGTTATTACATTAAATAACTCAAATGAAAATCAACCAATTCAATCAATCTTATCTTCTCCAACTATTTAACCTGACTCAATTACTGTAAAAAGTTCATATAACAAAATAACTACTCAAGCCAATTTAGAAACTATCACTGAAACTTTTGAAACTTTTGATTTAAACAAAAAACTGTTAAAGTAAACAAAAGATATTTACTAAACGTTAAACATAGAAGACAAATATTGCAGATCTTATTATTTCACAAGAGAAAGCTGAATTCCCACCTTTAACTATTACTAATTTCTACTCTGATTCTGAATACTTACCAATCATTATTCTCAAGAATTACCTGTTCAATCTCTAAATCTAACTATTAAACAAGCAGTAGAAGCCTCTCAAATAGTTTTAGAAACTCAAACTGAAAGATCCCCTAAAAATGATTTATCTAGTTTAATACTATTTCACTAACCCTAGTACGAGAAGGATTTCAAGAATCATCATCTTCTAATTTATTTAATAATACTGCAATTGAACCATAGAAAATAGATCTTTTGTATTTTCACAGTTATAACCAGTATTCTAATAACTAAAGGAAAATAACCAATCACTTATTTTACTCAATTGACCAAAGCTAATACTTCTTCTAGTTCTATAATATCTCACTTTGATAGCCTATTTGGAAGAAATACTACAAGAATTCCTAATATTGCATCAAGAAGTAATAATCTATCTCAATAACCAGCTATTACAATAATATTGATTTTTTTTTGATTTGCCTCTCTTTCATTTAAATTTTTTTTTCTAAATATCCAAATTCACTAGTCACATTCAATAAAAATTCCTTTAACTTTTTCTTAAAGGAAGGAAATAAATTCCTACTTTTTCTTTCATTATTCTTTAAAAAGAATAATTTTTTTCGCACATTAACAATTTTTTTGTAATATCCTTCACCACCTCACAGGTTTCATATATATATTGATGATATTGTTGTAAAACTAACTTATGTAGTTTATACAAATCTAATTGATCTTTCGGTATAATCAACATTGATCTTAAAAATAAGACAGCATCATATTATTACGTCAGTTCTTTATAATGTTCGACTTAAATAAGCATTATGATTACGTGTGCAGAAGGTTTCCTTCATAAAGAAGATAGAGAACTTAATTATAATTTTATAAGTGTAAAGAAATATAATAATTCACGTAGAATAAATGATTAATAAACAAAATTATAGTACTACCTATGTCAGTGCGTCTGTACTAAACAGTTTATTTATTAAGGGCTTTAAAACTACTAAAACTAATATAAGATAAAACTAAACGATCTATCAATACTTAATCCTAAATTACTCCTATTTATATAAAACTATCTTATATAATATTATAATAATTTAAATAAAGAAAATAAAGAAAAATAATATAATAAATAAAATAGATAAAATAAATATAATAAAATAATAAAATAAATAGATAAAATGAATTAAATGAATTAAATAAACTATGACGTCAATGGTTTCTATTATACAAATCAATTTTACTACTTTTTTTTTTAAAGACATGGTAAAGTATTTATTTATTCAAATTTTAAAATTCAATATAAAAAGGAAAAATCCCAAGATGGGTACAAGAGTAGAAAAATAAAGTAAATGTTGCTTAGCCCTCTTCGAAGGGATAAACTAACTCTGACCAAACCAACTGGTTATCACGTCATGTTCCTAAACAACTATGAGAAGAAAAGTCACAATATGACTAACGAAAATAAAAATAGACAACTAGTTTTCACTGCTTTAAAAAGAGGCCAAAATCGACCATGAATGTAAGAATCATAGAATAAGTTAGTATATTTAGAAGTTGAGAAAGTATTTGAGAAAGTAAGAAGAATTGATGATTTAACGGGATTAGTATTTTTAGAAGCTTTGGTGTAAAGTTTTTTCTTTTTTGTAATGCTAAGATTAAGTTTTGTGGCAATGGTCAAATTACATCTGGAAATCCAAATTAATGTAATTGCTTGAGTTTGTATGTGTTCGAAATGAACGGATAGAATAGTTTTAGTTTTTTTGTTACAGTTTGTAAAGTTATTGATGCAGAAGAATAAATAGCTAGGAATGATTCCTTTGATCATATCTACTATGTTAAACTTCTTAGGAGAGTTGATGGTCAGAATCCAGTAATCAAAAGTTGGATTCATTAGAGCATTTAATTCGTTAGACCATACAGTTTTAGATGTGTGAATAAAAAGTTAATCTTTGAGATTAACAATAGCACTGAGTACTATTTGATTGAGTAAACAGTGATTTCTTGAGCAGAGCCATATGTGGTCGAATGATTCTTTTTCTATAAGACATTTATTGCAGTTCTAGCTATCGTCATATATAGAGCTTCAAACAGGTTGGGTTGGATCGGGTAATTGACTTGACCTGACCTAATAAAGTCAGGTCAGGTCAGACATAAAATTGACCTGAATTAAATATACATTTGATCTGATCCAACCTGACCTGACCTGTCTAAAAAAGAAAACTAAACAATTATTAATTTTGTTTAATATTTTTTTAAAAAAATATA